AAAAAAAAAAAAAAAAAAGTAGAGAAACAAATCTAAACAGCTCTAAAGTAAATTACCACTGTTTGCGGATGGCTCCAGGGAAGAGTTCTGCAGTTTGAAATCAAACAAGACCATTTTTATTTTTCTTAACATGGCTGTGCGGTGGCTCGGCCGGGAAGGGGGTTCCCGGGGGCTGCGTCCCACCGTGGGCAGGCAGGAGGGGCAGGGAGCAGTACCCACCCCACCAGGGAGCAGCACCCACCCCACCAGGGAGCAGCACCCACCCCACCAGGGAGCAGCACCCAGACCTGAGGGTATCTGAAGGGGGTCTCGTGGCTGGCTGCTTTCTGGGTTGAAATCCCTTCTTTCGGGGAGCTGCCAGATGTATTGGGCAGTTTCTGCGGGCGTTGGGCACAGCTCCATCCCTCCACAGCAGCCGACGGCCCTCCTGGGAGTGTGGGCATGACCACCGTGCCCCCCTCTCGCCCCCCTGCCCTGCTTTGGTGGCAGGAGGAGAAGGTGAAGCGGTCACAGAGCTTCTTCCCTCTGCATCCTCCTGGTGGGGACTGTCCAGCCGAGCCGGAGCAGGGATCAGCCCCCTCTGCCTGGCAAATACCTGGTGGAGGCACAAACCAAATCAACAAGGAGAGAGAAAAACACAGAGTGAGGGTGAAGCAGGAGGCAGGAGCTGCTCTGGTGCCGTCTCTCCCTCCCGAGCAGCAGCCAGGGCTGGCACCAGGCAGCGAGAGCCACGGCGTCCGCTCTGCGGCCGGCGGCTCCTGCTTTATCCTCTGCCCTGGGGCTGGTGGGCACCCAGAGCTGCCCTCCCACCTCTCCAATTTTCTGGAGATTTCCGTTTCCCAGAGGCAGAAGCGGGGTGCTAAAGGCTGCACCCTCCGCCAGCCAAAACCAGCCAGCCCGCTGAGTCTGCGGCGCTGGGGACGCGGAGGTGTATTAATGGCAGCACTTTATCTTCCAGGAACAAGGCCCATTAGTACATTTTCACTACAACATGAAATATTAATAACACTTTGCATTTATATAGCGTCATTCATCCAGGAGTCACCAGCCAGGTTCCTGACGTGAATCAAACCCCGCAGCCAGCTCCGGCGGAGGCAGGTAAATAGGATTGTACCCATTCTCCTGCTGCACACACTGAGGCACAGGGATTCCTCCAGGGCACTGGTGCTTTGTGGCAATGCCTGTCACAGGAGCCTCTGCCCACTGTCCAGGGATGCCACCGCTCAAAAGTTCACGGGAGGATCCCCGTCCAGCCCCCCCCTCGCTTTGCAGGGAGTTTTGCTATCGTCAGACAGAAGTTGCTGTAGAAAAGCAAAATGCTTCCTTGGGCTGCTGGCATGTTGCTTTTTCCTTGAAGGTTTGGGAATTGCAAAAGAAGTCTTTCCACTTTGTAAAATAATAACAACAACAACAATAATATTCAGAATTCTTTTGGCCCTTTTGTTCCCTTCTGTGACAGATTTTGCAGACGTGAAGCCCGGAAACTCTTACTTCACCCCTTCAGCACGGCTGGAGGCTGCTCCGCTCCCGGGCAGCCCAGGGCATTGCTGGCTGATATTTCCAAGCATCTCCCATCCCTCCAGCCGCAGGTCCCGCTGCCGGACACCGGGCGGGTGCTGCATTCCCACTTTCTCCAGCCCATCTCCAGGATCGGTGCCGCTGCTGAGGCTGCCACAGCCAGGCTGGGTCGTGCCGGGTGGCCGGAGCGTGTTTGGGGGTTATTGGCTTGGGATAAAAACGGCAGTCGGGGAAGGATGTGTGTTTTACAGTCGTGCTGTGAAGAGCGAGCTGCCTGGGTGCTCTCTTTGCAGAAGGTCCCCAGGACCATCTGCTGAGCTTCACCAGCTCCAGGGACCCATCCCAGCAAACCCCACCATGACCGGGCAGGTCCCAAGGTCTCTGCTTCACTTTCCATCAGGTGAAACCACCAGCGACAGACGAGTTTTCTGCTGAAAAATTTCATTTAAAACAAACAAACAAAAAAAAGTCAAACCGAGGAAGTTTTGGGGGGACAGAGCCCGAACACACGTGGCCAGCGGCTGCTCCCGAGCTGCTGCCACGTTAGTGATGTTGTGCCGAGGGTGCAGGGAGGGGAGTCGTTCAGTGGGGTTAGGAAACCTGTCAGCCCACAGACAGCCGGGCCCTGGCACAGCCCAAGGGCTCCTGTGGCATGAAAGAGCAAGCAGCAAACCGGTGGGGAAAGGGCTATTTTCATCTTATTAAAGAGCCTTATATTTAAACCCTCCTTCGGGTCTGTAGCACAAGATGATTGCGAAGGCTTTTACAGACTAACTCAGCAGGAATCGCTTCTGCTGTCGGCGATGTTGCATGCAGATGCTGGTTAGCAGGGCCGAATTCCGTTATTGATGCTGGATAAATACAGAAAAATAGGTCCTGCGTGAAGGTACGGAGTGGGTGGTGAGCAGCAGGGACGTGCTGTTTGCGCAGACCAGCTCCCTTTACCCAGCACCATTGCTGTTCAAAGGAGGCATCTTGTTTGCAGATAATTAAAAAAAAAAAACCCCGAAACCCAAAATCAAACAGATTAGTGAAAACTAAACACACAGAGCAGGCTGGATGTTGGCTGAAGCACCGGGAAAGTTGTGTGAGTGTCCACTGATGCCGCAGCCAGACTGCGCCGTGCCCGGGTCAGCCCCGGTGCCCTGGGACCCCAATTCCCTGGCCCCAACCACCGGCCCTTGGGTGCTGCCAGCGCCTTGCGAGAGCTGCAAAACCCCCCAGTGACTTCCTAGGGAGGCTCCCACACCCTTTTGGCCTCCACCTCTGGCAGGAGGGTGCCGGCAAAGGGTGGTGGCTCAGGGACACGTGCCAGGGACTGGTGTCCCACCTCCCAGCACCCATGGGATGAGCCAGCGCAGCCCCAGCAGGGCAGCGGGAAGGAAGAGGCGCACGAGGGCTTCCAACTATTTTTAACAGGTTCCCCAGGGCCCTGGGGGGGTTTCTCACCTTCCGCGTACCCCACAGCCCCCGCCAGCCCCCAGCACAGAGACGCTGAAAGGACCTTGCGCTGCCTCGTTCAGCATCAAACCCGAGCTGCCCTAAGCGCCGCGGACGTTGATGCTTCCCCTGGCGCAGGTTTCCTTCGCGTGGCCAGGACGGGGGTTGGCAGACACGGTGGGTCTGTTCGGAATCTCTCCTGTGGCAAAGCTGCGTTCAGGGACTCTCTGGATGAGAGCAGGCAAAGCCCTCCACGGCCCAGGCTGGCAGCGGCCATCTGATATGGGCAGCACCCATTAATCCGCTCACGTTTACAAGTGAGGCCGCAGGGAGTAACTTCATTTCTAGGGAGAGCTTA